AAAGTGCAAAAACATTTTTCCGCTGATTCGAGTTTTCAAACGTGTAAGGATTAAACATAAAGGATTTTCAAACGTGAATAAGTGAAACGGATGTTTGATGTTAACATAACGTTTACAATTATGCTTATATTTTATTAAACGTATTCTATATTTTCAGTTTGTCCATCTGATTATAATTTCCGATGTTTACAATTTCATATATCAAGCAAATAACACTTTTTATTCCAATTTCTTTTCGTTTAGTAATCTGCAGAAAATTACAGGAAGTAGTTATTGTAAGTCGGATGACCTTCTGAAATGAGCAGATGTTGTAAATGGACCTTCGTCGGCAAATCCAGCAATTTCTTGTGGGATAATTGCATACTCTTCCACGCTGGTACACGGCCTGCACATGCACTCCAGAGGCGCTTTGGTAATTACCTGTGAAAAACATTCGTATGCCAAATTTTCCAATAAATTCTGCGAATCCTTCGAAATCAATAAAAAATCTTTTTTCTGTACTTTCTCATTGTAACATATAGAAAATGGAAAGCGGATAAAATACACGATCCTATTGGACAAATGATCCGTGTAGAACAGTCCCATTCAAATTACGCGCAATATTCAGTTTTTACGCGCTTCCTACTGGTCGGTTGGACGAAAACAATATGGCTGTGGGAAACTCGTGGTGTCAGAAGCTGTGCTCCTGATTTTAGTGTGCAAGTGATTGACCCGACGACGCGTTATTAAATTCTCGCATTTCCCCGAGATCTTCGGAATTCTGTGATTAATATGAGATAATATTTTAACCTTTCGGAACTTTTTCTCTCCCGGTTTAGCCCTTGGACAAAACAGGGATACACTGGCCTCCCTTTCGCCGCTTTCTTGACAACACATGCAGCTCCTCTCCATTTGCCAAATTTTTGATCCCGACACCTGTAGAAACAGGTAAGAGGTCGAATCGTTGTTGTGTGAAATAGCTTTTAAGTTTTATTTGAGGCGAACTGAGATATAGTTATGTAAAAGTATGATAGTATTTAGTAACCAACAGTGAAAAACTGTTTCTCAAGTTCATATTTCTGACAATAATAAATGACATAAATATCAAGTGCTCAGAAAATACACTGTAAGTTTTATAACTACAGATCACTTTTACTTAGTAATTTTTACTCGTTCGTGCTCGAAATTAAGCAATATGCAACAAAAAAGAAGAAAGCTTTATAAGTTAAATATTATTCTTCTATTTTATTCTATGTATTTACAATCTTAAATTATTTTAATGTAACTAGTAATATTAAATTATGTCAAATAGTAATACGTATTGGTAGTTAACAAATTTATAAGATTGCTCTAATATAGTTAAATTGATTAATTTAAAAAAAAAGAAATCTTCTCTGAGATATTGTTTCTTATTTTGTTTTACCTGCAGGTAACTACTACAACGTCCTCTACATGCGTAACTAGGAATCGGTTTTGGTACACATCCTGGATATTGTAGAAAGTGAATGACCGGTGTTGCTTGACATTCATCAACAACTGCCTTTGTGGTTCCAAATAGAAGACATATAAGGAGACCAACTGCTACTGCAACTGTAAGTACCAGAAAAAAACATATATGTTTATGTGCGCATAATTTATTTAATTTTTGTTTTTTGTGTGTACCCATACATATGCATTATTTGAATGCTAATAAGCTAGAACTTTTTGTTAATACTTAACAATTATAACTGCCGTTTTCTAGTCGAAGATTAAAATCCAAGTAGAATTTCCATCTAAGCATTTGTATGATCATACAAGATAGATGTATACCGAACAAGCTATATGTACAAGTAATATTTTTTTACAGTATAGCGTGTACAGATAAGATTTAAATTCATATATGATTTTGTTTACTTTGTAAAAATCTCAGTAGTATGATTTTTCATTTACCAGTGTGACACAGGAACATAGTTCTAGCACGATACATTTCCTCCTAGGTCTAGTACCTTACTGTGCTTATAGATTTCACGTTGTACCCTTTTATACCCTGTAGGTGGCCGTGTTTCCTCCCTTCCCTTCTGATGCTAATGTTAATAGCAATAAGGAAGGAATAAGAACGTGAAAGCATGTGACAATTTTCCCTAAAAAAGTACATTTTTTATCAAAGCACGAATAACAGTTTTCATTAATATTTTTCAACATATATGTAAGTAGTTGAATTATTTGATTTTAATCTGCACAAATGTAACAAGTAAATTACTGAAATATATTTTTTTATAACTATCTCATATTTAGGTATGGTACTAACAAATCATAAGGATTTAAACATCTTCAAGTATTAACAACTGATCTCAGACAATTTCAGAAATTGTAGAAAAATACCAACTCATTTAAACTCAGCTTATTGTTATATTCTTTGTTATATTGAAATATAAAAAATTAAAGATTGATGACATTATTTTTTAAAAGACTACCAACTGCTGTTGCCATTCAACTTTGATTACTACTGCTATCAAATTTATAATTTTCATATTTCATTTATGTATAACTCTTTAAAGAAATAGTATGTTTTGTATTAATATTTTGGAAAAGAAACTAATAAATAAAAAAATGTCAAGATGTTTTATTGCTTTACATAATAAAGACAATTTGCAGTATATTTAGATTAGATAGATGTGTCACATGCTAATTTTTTAATTTCTGCTTTTCATCTTTTCTGTCAGTATAAAAAGTATTGCAAAGTATTGCTTTATTGATGGCAAAAGGTATGAAATTAATAATATGTCAATTGTGTGCTGTATTATTTATTATTTAATTTTCTAAAATAAATAATCTAATTTTTTATAGATCCTTTAATAACTGAAATAATAAATCAATTCGTTTCTTAGTAACTTTGTTTATTAATTTATATTAATCTTTATAAAATTGAATATTAACATGGTTACCATAATTAATACAATATTAATTTCAAAAATATATGCATGATTTAAATGTATTGAAGTCATGGAATGTGTTAACATGTTTTTGTACATTTACTTGAATTGTTCTATAATTATTTATTTCAATAATATTTCAGTTGTTAATGATATACTAACTCAGTGATTATAGTTCTGTTAATTTAATACTAAGGTAATGCTTAACTAATCTCAACATATTATTTATTCAATCCCAACTAAAAAATCTCTTAAAATATTTGATGATATTGGAATATTTAAAATTGATTTTCTTCCTAAGTGAAATACAGATCTAAAAGGAGAAGGGAAATCATTGATTACAAATGTGCTTTGTATTTTTCATTTTATTTTCAATAATATAATTTCTATTACATAATTTGAAGATATAATTCGCAATATTGTTCAATTAAATTATTTCCATTATATTTATCGAGAAGTATCTCCACATTTAGTACATTTACATTCTACTGGTTCTCGTATTTTAATTTCCATTATTCTGTCTTCTTCGTTCAATAATTTTATGCCATCTGAATCATAACAATGATGTAAGGTGACCACTCTTTCCTTGAGGTAACTTTCTCGACAACAATAGCATTCCTATTAAAAAAATCAGAAGATTATTTCATGTATACTTGTAGAACTTACACTTTTTTTTTTTGTTACT